TATTCCACAGCACATGAGTTCAGTTTCCAGAAACCACATGAAGAAGCCAGTCTGATAGCCAGGGGTGAGGGCATGTAACTTTTAACCCCAGAGGGAGGCACAGAGAGGCAGATCTCTGAGTTCAAGGTCAGCCTGTTCTAGAACAGCCAGGAGTACAGAGAGAAACCTTGTCTCAAAAAACAAACAAACAAACAAACAAACAAAACAAAAGAAGCCAGGCCGAGGGTGGGAAGCTGTGTGCAGACCTGTTGTCCCAACATTGCGTGCAGTAGAGACAGGAATACGGCTGGGGTCAGTGAGGGGCCTATTTCACTATAAGGTTATAAGACAACATATAGAAGAAGAAACCTAATCTGGTCCCTTCGTCATATCACACCACAGACACATCACACACACACACGTACACACACACACACACTATACACCCACAAACACACAGTACATATACATATATCACACATTACATATACATACGCCATCTATACCCACACATGCCACATATACACACATTATATACATATACTATACGTACCACATATACTACATACATACAAACACTCACACACTACATAACACATGCACACATGATAGGGAAAAAATGAACTCATGCAATAGTATCAAAAACAAAGCTCTAAACTGGTGCAGCCTTGTAGACCCTTCACTCAAGAAGCTGGGGCAAGAGCGTTCAGAGTTTTGGACCACTACCCAGCCATCCCACGCAACAACAAGGGAGCTCACTCAGTGGGTCTGATGTGGCGGATGCTGGCCTGGGAATACTCTACATGCATGGAGTACCCATGGGAGGTTCCACAGAGACCCAGAGGAGATTGGGAAGGAGGAGCAGGCTGCTGCTGAGAAGACTGTGACCAAGTAGGAATTTTGGGACAAAAGAACTGTACCAGTTCCTGAGTTCACTGCTGCTCAGCCAGAGGGGACCAACAGGTCTGAGGGCATGCAGGTGCCCTTTATACCCATCCAGCAGTTCCCTACGGAAGACTGGAGTGCCAAGCCAGCCACTGAGCTCAGCAGCTCCCACAGCACAGGCCACCGAGTAGGTTAGAGCCACCACTGAGTGGTCCTGAGCTTTTCTCCAGACACCTGAACAAAAGGAAAAAGGAGAAGGAAAATAAAGTTCCTACAATCTGAAGATTAAAAAAAAAAGAGTTTGAGATTAGCCAGGATAGTGGTGGTGCAGGCCTTTAACCCTAGTACTCCAGGAGGCAGAGGTGGGTGGATCTCTGAGTTCAAGGCCAGCTGGTGTACACAGAGTTCCAGAACTGCCAAGGCTACACAGAAAACCCTATCTTGAAAAACAAAAACAAGAGAGAGAGAGAGAGAGAGAGAGAGAGAGAGAGAGAGAGAGAGAGAAATTGAGAGATGCCTGGTCTTGCATTAAGGGCTTCTCACCAGAATAAAAGACAAGAGGACATGAAAGCAAATCTGTAGCAGCTGGAGTAACGTAAAATGAAGCACATTCAGAGACAGAGACAGACACCAGAGGTCTCTGCCCCCTGAGGAGCCCATGCGGACACGCGTTTTTTTTTTGTTTTTTGTTTTTTTTTTTTTTACTTTTTAATCTAATGCAAGTGGGTGTTTTGCATTTGTATATGTCTGTGCACTGTGTGAATACCTGGGTCCACAGGGAATAGAAATGGGCATTGGAGCTCAGGAACTGGAGTTTCAGACAGCTGTGAGCCACCGTTAGGTTCCTTGGGAGAGCAGTCAGTCCTCTTAATTGCTGAGCCATCTCTTGAGCCCTGTCTTGCTTTCATCCAACATCTCTTTTTCTCCTAACTTTCATTGCTTAAGCATATACAAAATTATCTTTTAATTAAATCTCCAAATATGCGTCTTAAAGAATCAAAAAGAGAAAAAGAAAGAACCACTGGAAACAAATGGGGGCAAAGTGGGGTGGGGTGGGGGCTATGAAACAGAAGCAAGAAAGGAGCCACACCTAGCATGGTCACCTTATGTCCCAGCGGTGTGGACACAAGGCTACTGACCGCGGAGTCATTTGCAAAGTTGCATAGAAAAGGTTGCTCAAGTTATCGGATGACAAGAAACAGAGAGCAAGCCAATTGGCTCCGTAAGAGATACCTAATACAAAAATAGGCAGGGATTATGTGAGCGCCAGCCCTGGGACGCTCAGCCAGAGTTGCAGGAACTTGCCTCTCTCTCTTCTCTCTCCTCATCAGGTTGGTCTCGGCACTTCTTTGTGAGCTTGCTTCCCTCTCGCAGACAGTTCCTTTGCTCACTCATCTGCTTCCATGTGACCTACGGAAGCTGCCCCAGATGACAGCATCGGCCTTCCATTTCTGCCCGGTTTGCTGGCAATCACAAGTCTGTACCTGACTGGGCTCACGCTCCACCAGGAGCTGTCATCGGTCCGCTGTACATCTGAGTACTTACAGATGCCCTAATGGTTACACCCAGCCCGTTTCCTGTAAATTAAATTACAAATGTTTTTACATCTGTTTCAAATGTGCCTTGGGGTGGGGGTGGGGAGGCATGTGCCACAGCACAAGTATAGAAGGTGAGGGAACAACTTGTCAATGCAAGAGTCAACTCTTCTATGACCTGAGTCCCCGGGGTGAAATTCTCGTCATTAGGCTTGGAGCGTCTCCTTGGCCTACAAATGAAGAAACTTCAACACAGCGGTTCTCAACCTGTGGGTTTCAAATCCTCTAGAGGTTGACGACCCTCTCACAGAGAGGTTGCCTGACAGATATTCTGCATGTCAGATATTTCCGTTATGATTCATAACACTATTGAAATTATAACCATAGAGTAGATAATTTTATGGGGATCACCACAACATGAGAAACTATATTAAAGGGTCAATCACAGCATTAGGAAGGTTGGGAACCACTGCTTTAATCATCAACATGTCTATGTATTTGCATGTTGTCTAAGGCTACTTACCTAGTACAAGGTCATAGCTGGGTAATTGCAACAAAGAAACTACAGACCAAAATGGCTACCTAGACCTTTGCAATACAAGTTGGCTGAGCCCTGCCTTAAGGCAGTTGTGGATAAATGAATGGACTTGTTTAAAGACTCAGGGGAAGTCGGGTGGGCAGTCTCTCCTCTGAGAGAGGACCTGTCTGAAAGTTCTAACATAGGAAAAAAATAATCTCAAATATGAAATGAGATTTTACACAAAGGGTGGGAAGGGCATAATGTGGAGATGTTCATTAAAGATGCTAAATTTAGGGGAGCCTGTTACCCTAGCCACCTTTAAATAATTCCCTCATGGCAAATTTTACAAACCCTCTCTAGTTGGTTCTTGCCAAGATGGACTGGCCAAGGCACAAAGTTTGCTATACATGAAGCTTTCTTAAATGCCCCAAAGTTTAAATATTAGTTAGAGAAAGAGAGATAGACGAAGAGGCAAACAGATGTGAAGAAAGCCTGAGACTTCAGAGCGGGGGTGCAATGAAGTCTAGAAGTTTGACTGACATCGATTCATTGGGGGAAAATACTTCATTAGAACAGCTGTTCAGATGGCTCAGTGGTTAAGAGCGTCTGCTGCTCTTGCAGAGGACCCAAATTCCATTCCCAGAATCCATACCAGGTAGCTCACAAGTGGCTGCGACTATAACTCCAGGGGTATCCAATGCCTCTAGCCTCCACAAGCACACATATGTGTACACATACACACACACACATACATACATACACACACATGCATACGTACAATTGGTTGGAAGTAATGGCTCACACTCATAATCCTACTCATAACGGGAGGCTGAGGAAGAGGGGTGAGCAAGGCCAGCATGAGCTACAGAGTGAAACTTTGGGTCCTGAGCTAGCCCAGGTAACAAAACTCTTTTGGGGTAGACAGAAAAGCTAATAGATTTCTGAGAACCTTGGAGAACCCTCAGCTTCCTACTACTCCAAATTGACTGAGAACTCTCAGCTGCCTTGGCACCAAAGATTTTACTGGAAATGTTGCAAGCCACTGAATAAGAATTCCATTAAAAACAACAAACAAACAAGCAAAAAAATCTCATGGGTAATTCAGTAACAGAAAAAAAAAAATCAATACTTAAAAAATATAGCCAGGTGGTAGTAGTGCACTTGGGAGGCAGAGGCAGGGAGATCTCTGTGAGTTTGAGGCCAGCCTGGTCTGCAAAGAGCATTCTAGGACAGCCAAGTGCTGGTATGCAGAGAAACTCTGTCTCAAAAATCCAACACACACACACACACACACACACACACACACACACACACACACATCTCCTGGGGGAGGGGGTATGCACGCTACAAGGCACATGTGGAGGTCAACTTGTAGGAGTAATTTTCCTTCTACTGTTTGGATTTCCAGGGAGGCTTGAACTCTGGTTGTCAGTCCTCCTGACAAGAGTCTTTACCAGCAGAGCCACTTGGCCAGCCCCAAATACTGCATTTTACTGCAGCATGGTGAGGCAGACTTTATTCGGGCTGTCAGTCACCCGAGGTGATAAGGTCCCCTGCAGTGGCACTTTGCAGCAGAGAGGACGGGCAGGGGCATAGTTCCAAACCTACAGCCTGAACCAGTGGCAATGTAGAGTGCGGTGGAGGGCAGAGGATGGAAGATTCCTAAGAGAAAACCTCAGGGATAAGGGAGGTCTCGGGCTATACTGACCCAGCTGCATTCTTGCTGAAGACTGCCTAAGGGACAATGGCAGGTGAGAAAGCCAATCAGGTGCTAACGATAACCATATGCCAAAGACAAAGGGTTCTGGCTAAACTGACTTTGTTGGGCTATTTGCTAAAAGTTGATTTTTATAGGAGAAAGTTTGTTATCTATTTATTTATTAGTTTTTTTCTTCATTTTTTTTTTTTTTTTTTTTTTTTTTTTTTTTTTTTTTTTTTTTTTTTTTTTTTTTTTTTTTTTTTTTTTTTGAGACAGGGTTTCTTTGTATAGCCTTGGCTGTCCTGGAACTCACTCTGTAGAACAGGTTGGCCGGTTGGCCTCAGACTCACAGAGCTCTGCCTGCCTCTGCCTCCCTCAAGCGTTGGGATTAAAAGCATGTGCCACCACCCCAGCTGGGACAAAGTTTATGAGCGTGCCCATAGCTGGCTAAGCGGAGAGCCATTGTGAACCCCTGAAAATACTACAACATAAACAGTCCTGAGGTCGATGGGGATTTGGGCTCCGAATAGAAGTTGTCATTTTCTTTGGATGAGCCTTTTCCCCTTTTCCTAAAACTGTTTTTATTTTTAAATGCAATCTTGCATGGAACTCAGTTCTTAAAAGATAAAGCAGGCTTGCCGTGGGGGGATGGAAACTGGAGCATTCGCAGCGAGGGAGAGCCAGGCATTTAGGACAAACGTGTTCTTCTTAGTAATACAGGAGCAGAACTGCTTCAGATCCTAGGGCTGGGCTTGAGCACTTGCTTAGGGACCAGACACCCCGATTTCCATTCCCAGCACTGAGAGGGGAAAATAGGAAAGAAAACACAGTGGGTCCAGGCATCCAGGCAGGCTTGGTTTTATGGCTGCTTTAGTCTCAGTGACCTCCTGTTGGTGGTGGGCAATGGCCTGCCTCGAGGCAGCGGGGATGTCTTAACTCTTGAAAATCACTGTGCAAGTTTTCCCTCCTCCTTCATCTTCTTCTTATTTAAATTAGTTATTTATTGCTGCTGTGTATTTATGGATGTGTGTCATCAGAGTGTCCATGAGGAAGTTGGAAGATGACTTCGTGGAGTTGGCTCACTTCCTCCACCTTTCTTTGAGTTCTGGAGATAGAAAGAAAGGGTTGTTAGATAGAAAAAGGGTGACAAGCACTTTTACCCACTGAGCAGTTCATCTTGCCCCCCCACCCCCACTTTTAGTTTTTTTGTTTTTGTTTTGTTTTGAGACAAGGTCTTATTCTGTAACCCAAGCTGATTTGTAACCCAAGCTAACATCAAACTCCCCGTAATCCTCCTGCTTCAGCATCCCAAATTCTGTGTTTACAGGTGTGAGCTAAATCTCCTTTTTTATTTTATTTTTGGTTTTTCGAGACAGGGTTTCTCTGTGGTTTTGGAGCCTGTCCTGGAACTCGCTCTGTAGACCAGGCTGGTCTCGAACTCACAGAGATCTGCCTGCCTCTGCCTCCCAAGTGCNAAAGAGAGAGAGAGAGAGAGAGAGAGAGAGAGAGAGAGAGAGAGAGAGAAATTGAGACCTGCCTGGTCTTGCATTAAAAAAAAAAATCCAGAATAAAAGACAAGAGGACAGGAAAGCAAATCTGTAGCAGCTGGAGTAACGTAAAATGAAGCACATTCAGAGACAGAGACAGACACCAGAGGTCTCTGCCCCCTGAGGAGCCCATGCGGACACGCGTTTTTTTTTTGTTTTTTGTTTTTTTTTTTTTTACTTTTTAATCTAATGCAAGTGGGTGTTTTGCATTTGTATATGTCTGTGCACTGTGTGAATACCTGGGTCCACAGGGAATAGAAATGGGCATTGGAGCTCAGGAACTGGAGTTTCAGACAGCTGTGAGCCACCGTTAGGTTCCTTGGGAGAGCAGTCAGTCCTCTTAATTGCTGAGCCATCTCTTGAGCCCTGTCTTGCTTTCATCCAACATCTCTTTTTCTCCTAACTTTCATTGCTTAAGCATATACAAAATTATCTTTTAATTAAATCTCCAAATATGCGTCTTAAAGAATCAAAAAGAGAAAAAGAAAGAACCACTGGAAACAAATGGGGGCAAAGTGGGGTGGGGTGGGGGCTATGAAACAGAAGCAAGAAAGGAGCCACACCTAGCATGGTCACCTTATGTCCCAGCGGTGTGGACACAAGGCTACTGACCGCGGAGTCATTTGCAAAGTTGCATAGAAAAGGTTGCTCAAGTTATCGGATGACAAGAAACAGAGAGCAAGCCAATTGGCTCCGTAAGAGATACCTAATACAAAAATAGGCAGGGATTATGTGAGCGCCAGCCCTGGGACGCTCAGCCAGAGTTGCAGGAACTTGCCTCTCTCTCTTCTCTCTCCTCATCAGGTTGGTCTCGGCACTTCTTTGTGAGCTTGCTTCCCTCTCGCAGACAGTTCCTTTGCTCACTCATCTGCTTCCATGTGACCTACGGAAGCTGCCCCAGATGACAGCATCGGCCTTCCATTTCTGCCCGGTTTGCTGGCAATCACAAGTCTGTACCTGACTGGGCTCACGCTCCACCAGGAGCTGTCATCGGTCCGCTGTACATCTGAGTACTTACAGATGCCCTAATGGTTACACCCAGCCCGTTTCCTGTAAATTAAATTACAAATGTTTTTACATCTGTTTCAAATGTGCCTTGGGGTGGGGGTGGGGAGGCATGTGCCACAGCACAAGTATAGAAGGTGAGGGAACAACTTGTCAATGCAAGAGTCAACTCTTCTATGACCTGAGTCCCCGGGGTGAAATTCTCGTCATTAGGCTTGGAGCGTCTCCTTGGCCTACAAATGAAGAAACTTCAACACAGCGGTTCTCAACCTGTGGGTTTCAAATCCTCTAGAGGTTGACGACCCTCTCACAGAGAGGTTGCCTGACAGATATTCTGCATGTCAGATATTTCCGTTATGATTCATAACACTATTGAAATTATAACCATAGAGTAGATAATTTTATGGGGATCACCACAACATGAGAAACTATATTAAAGGGTCAATCACAGCATTAGGAAGGTTGGGAACCACTGCTTTAATCATCAACATGTCTATGTATTTGCATGTTGTCTAAGGCTACTTACCTAGTACAAGGTCATAGCTGGGTAATTGCAACAAAGAAACTACAGACCAAAATGGCTACCTAGACCTTTGCAATACAAGTTGGCTGAGCCCTGCCTTAAGGCAGTTGTGGATAAATGAATGGACTTGTTTAAAGACTCAGGGGAAGTCGGGTGGGCAGTCTCTCCTCTGAGAGAGGACCTGTCTGAAAGTTCTAACATAGGAAAAAAATAATCTCAAATATGAAATGAGATTTTACACAAAGGGTGGGAAGGGCATAATGTGGAGATGTTCATTAAAGATGCTAAATTTAGGGGAGCCTGTTACCCTAGCCACCTTTAAATAATTCCCTCATGGCAAATTTTACAAACCCTCTCTAGTTGGTTCTTGCCAAGATGGACTGGCCAAGGCACAAAGTTTGCTATACATGAAGCTTTCTTAAATGCCCCAAAGTTTAAATATTAGTTAGAGAAAGAGAGATAGACGAAGAGGCAAACAGATGTGAAGAAAGCCTGAGACTTCAGAGCGGGGGTGCAATGAAGTCTAGAAGTTTGACTGACATCGATTCATTGGGGGAAAATACTTCATTAGAACAGCTGTTCAGATGGCTCAGTGGTTAAGAGCGTCTGCTGCTCTTGCAGAGGACCCAAATTCCATTCCCAGAATCCATACCAGGTAGCTCACAAGTGGCTGCGACTATAACTCCAGGGGTATCCAATGCCTCTAGCCTCCACAAGCACACATATGTGTACACATACACACACACACATACATACATACACACACATGCATACGTACAATTGGTTGGAAGTAATGGCTCACACTCATAATCCTACTCATAACGGGAGGCTGAGGAAGAGGGGTGAGCAAGGCCAGCATGAGCTACAGAGTGAAACTTTGGGTCCTGAGCTAGCCCAGGTAACAAAACTCTTTTGGGGTAGACAGAAAAGCTAATAGATTTCTGAGAACCTTGGAGAACCCTCAGCTTCCTACTACTCCAAATTGACTGAGAACTCTCAGCTGCCTTGGCACCAAAGATTTTACTGGAAATGTTGCAAGCCACTGAATAAGAATTCCATTAAAAACAACAAACAAACAAGCAAAAAAATCTCATGGGTAATTCAGTAACAGAAAAAAAAAAATCAATACTTAAAAAATATAGCCAGGTGGTAGTAGTGCACTTGGGAGGCAGAGGCAGGGAGATCTCTGTGAGTTTGAGGCCAGCCTGGTCTGCAAAGAGCATTCTAGGACAGCCAAGTGCTGGTATGCAGAGAAACTCTGTCTCAAAAATCCAACACACACACACACACACACACACACACACACACACACACACACATCTCCTGGGGGAGGGGGTATGCACGCTACAAGGCACATGTGGAGGTCAACTTGTAGGAGTAATTTTCCTTCTACTGTTTGGATTTCCAGGGAGGCTTGAACTCTGGTTGTCAGTCCTCCTGACAAGAGTCTTTACCAGCAGAGCCACTTGGCCAGCCCCAAATACTGCATTTTACTGCAGCATGGTGAGGCAGACTTTATTCGGGCTGTCAGTCACCCGAGGTGATAAGGTCCCCTGCAGTGGCACTTTGCAGCAGAGAGGACGGGCAGGGGCATAGTTCCAAACCTACAGCCTGAACCAGTGGCAATGTAGAGTGCGGTGGAGGGCAGAGGATGGAAGATTCCTAAGAGAAAACCTCAGGGATAAGGGAGGTCTCGGGCTATACTGACCCAGCTGCATTCTTGCTGAAGACTGCCTAAGGGACAATGGCAGGTGAGAAAGCCAATCAGGTGCTAACGATAACCATATGCCAAAGACAAAGGGTTCTGGCTAAACTGACTTTGTTGGGCTATTTGCTAAAAGTTGATTTTTATAGGAGAAAGTTTGTTATCTATTTATTTATTAGTTTTTTTCTTCATTTTTTTTTTTTTTTTTTTTTTTTTTTTTTTTTTTTTTTTTTTTTTTTTTTTTTTTTTTTTTTTTTTTTTTTGAGACAGGGTTTCTTTGTATAGCCTTGGCTGTCCTGGAACTCACTCTGTAGAACAGGTTGGCCGGTTGGCCTCAGACTCACAGAGCTCTGCCTGCCTCTGCCTCCCTCAAGCGTTGGGATTAAAAGCATGTGCCACCACCCCAGCTGGGACAAAGTTTATGAGCGTGCCCATAGCTGGCTAAGCGGAGAGCCATTGTGAACCCCTGAAAATACTACAACATAAACAGTCCTGAGGTCGATGGGGATTTGGGCTCCGAATAGAAGTTGTCATTTTCTTTGGATGAGCCTTTTCCCCTTTTCCTAAAACTGTTTTTATTTTTAAATGCAATCTTGCATGGAACTCAGTTCTTAAAAGATAAAGCAGGCTTGCCGTGGGGGGATGGAAACTGGAGCATTCGCAGCGAGGGAGAGCCAGGCATTTAGGACAAACGTGTTCTTCTTAGTAATACAGGAGCAGAACTGCTTCAGATCCTAGGGCTGGGCTTGAGCACTTGCTTAGGGACCAGACACCCCGATTTCCATTCCCAGCACTGAGAGGGGAAAATAGGAAAGAAAACACAGTGGGTCCAGGCATCCAGGCAGGCTTGGTTTTATGGCTGCTTTAGTCTCAGTGACCTCCTGTTGGTGGTGGGCAATGGCCTGCCTCGAGGCAGCGGGGATGTCTTAACTCTTGAAAATCACTGTGCAAGTTTTCCCTCCTCCTTCATCTTCTTCTTATTTAAATTAGTTATTTATTGCTGCTGTGTATTTATGGATGTGTGTCATCAGAGTGTCCATGAGGAAGTTGGAAGATGACTTCGTGGAGTTGGCTCACTTCCTCCACCTTTCTTTGAGTTCTGGAGATAGAAAGAAAGGGTTGTTAGATAGAAAAAGGGTGACAAGCACTTTTACCCACTGAGCAGTTCATCTTGCCCCCCCACCCCCACTTTTAGTTTTTTTGTTTTTGTTTTGTTTTGAGACAAGGTCTTATTCTGTAACCCAAGCTGATTTGTAACCCAAGCTAACATCAAACTCCCCGTAATCCTCCTGCTTCAGCATCCCAAATTCTGTGTTTACAGGTGT